AGGGCCAAACAGGTCGACCCAGGGAGGATGCTGTAATCAAAGACGATGCAACGGGAAAGGAACTGGACCCTGGAAAGACCAACCGGTACATTGAGAGGTGGATAGGGGACATGTTCACAGGGGACAGCCGACAAATGGACAGTGAGGAGGGGGAGACGGAGGACGAACTGCAGGAGCAACCGAGCAGAGAGGAAATCACGGAGAGGGAGTTAAATAGAGCAGTCAAGAGGATAGGAGGAACCACAGCCACTGGAATGGACGAAATCCCAATGAGGCTGGTGAAGGAGCTGGGGCCAGAGACGAGAGCACTGCTGCGCGAGATCCTCAACCAGATCCTGAAGGAGGGATGGGTGCCGGAGGAGTGGCGAACCTCAAGACTCAGACTCATCTACAAGGGAAAAGGGCAAAAGTCAACGCTCGGAAACTACCGCCCCATAGCCATCACATCGGTACTCTACCGCGTGTTCACACAAATAATACGAGACCGACTGCAGACATGGGCAGAGGCAGAAGGAGTCCTGGGGGAGCTGCAGAATGGGTTCCGGTGGGGGAGACGCCTTGAGGACAATTTATTCGTGCTGACGCAGGCCATCGAGATTGCCCAGAAGGAGAACCGCCCCCTTTACCTCTGTTTTCTCGATATCAGCAAGGCTTACGACACGGTCGAACATCGAAAACTGTGGACGCAGCTGGAAGAGCGGGGACTCTGCAGAGAGTGGATAGACCTCTTGCGAGAAGTGTACAGAGGGACGACGGTGGTGGCACAGTGGCAGCAGGAGACAACACATCCAGTGACCTGCTCCAAGGGCTTGAGACAGGGCTGCCCGCTGTCGCCGCTATTGTTTATGCTGTACATAGCAGGAATCGAAAAGCGGCTGCAGGAGAGTGGGGAGGGTTTCTCACTGGAATATTCGGAAGGCGGGGAAAGGAAGGGAGGAAAACTCCCGGGACTCATCTACGCCGACGATATGGTGCTGATGGCGGACTCGCTGCAGGGCCTGCAGGGGCTCATGAACGAGTGTGGTGCAATGGGAGAGGCCCTGGGGCTTAGTTTCAGTTCGCACAAATCTGGGCTGATGGCCTTTGGGGCAGCAGAGGAAAACGGGACCGCCAACCTGTCCATTCAAGCCAATCCTGTACCTTGGGTGGACCACTACAAATATCTGGGTGTAAACCTACAGAAGGGACACCACTACCTCCTAGAGCACGAGACGAAGGTCAAGGCGAAGAGCAGGAAGAACAAGGGCATAGCAACGGCCAGGGCCCTCTGGGGATATAACCGATACGAGGTAACCCGAGCGGTCTGGAAGATGGTGGCGGTGCCGGGGCTCACTTTTGGCAACTCAGTGTTGTGCCTGTCATCAGGTACCAGGCAATACCTCGAGGTCCGTCAGAGGGAGGTGGGAAGGTCGGCACTGGGAGCAAGCCGAACAGCACCGAACGAAGCCGTCCAAGGAGACATGGGCTGGTCCGGTTTTGAGGCCAGGGAGGCCCGAGCCAAGCTGGACTTCGAGCGACGCCTCAGCCGGATGAGCGAAGAGCGCTGGGCCAGACAGGTCTTCAAGTATGTACATCTTCGGTCCGTCCCAACCCGGTGGGTGCGACGGACGCGCCAGCTGGCACAGCGATACGAGGTCAACGGCCCACTCCTCTACCCAGCCGCGGAGCAGCCGGAACTGCAGCAGAGCATCCGCACGAGGGTGATCGAGAGCGAGACGCGGCGATGGGCGGAAGCGGCACGTCTGAAACCAGCGCTGGCCCTGTATGCCAGGGAGAAACAGGAGGTGAAGCGAATACCTTTCATGGACAACAGCAAGGGCAGTGCACTGCTTTCGGACGCCCGAGGCGGCATGCTGCGGACCCGCGTTTTCCGCGCGAAGTACATGGACATGGACGTGAAGTGCGTCATGTGCGCGCAGGGAGCAGACGAGACGGCGGAACACGTCATACTGGAATGCACGGGTATAAAGCCGGACGTGACGTACGAACCAGACATGGCGGTGGCGCTGGGTTTCCGGGGCGTTGACGAACAGTACGACGCCGATAGCTCGCAGCCAGTGGAGGTGACAAAGAGGAGACTGGAGTGTTGGTGGAGGAGAGCAAAAGAACACAACTACGTTTTTGGCTAGTGTAGCTACTAGCCAGGCTAGATCCAGCGCTGCTGAGATCCCCCGATACAAAGGGGTTAGCCCCAAATCCAATCCAATCCAATCCAATCCACCGGGGGATGACTACTTCCGTCCGCCATTTTGGGGCTCTGACCTATAGGAACTCTATGCGATTTCTCAGGAATAAAGAAGACAAAGAAGTAACGCCATTTTGAATTATCGCGAAATCCGCTGGTTCTAGCGGGCATCAAGCTCCGCCCATTAGCCAAACTCTCTCAGTATAAACGGCTCTGGCCAGGATGAGATGGCGACCACCAATGTTGCTTGACGGGGTTTTGAAAAAGAGTATATTGTACTTGATCACTTTTAACAGCAAAAAGAGGACTAATGCATATATATATATATACAGGGTGTTTTTTTTTTATTCTTACACATTTCTTTAAAAAAAACGTGAAAGCTACACTAATGCGGTTTCTGCAGGTGGGTTATGCGGCCGGGCGGACATTATGTGGGTAGCTAATCTTTGCGATAAGTCGGCTAATTAATTAAAATTTGTTAACTAACTTTTTAATTAGTGGAAATAGACATATTGTTCCAATAGGAACTTGCTGAGCATCATCGAAAACCCCTAAATCAACTATTTTTAGAAGGATATAGCGCCGGGGCAGCATTTTACGGCGTTCTGTAAAAACGCTCTATTTGGACGCGTTCCTAGATTTCGGTTTCTTATCGGAGCGCATCTACGCGCCCGCAATCCTGCTCCCCGGTGGTCGCGGCGTGAAGCCACCTCCTCGCCTCCCTCGTAGAATAAAGGGAAGTACGCCGCACGCCTGTTGCGCGTCTCAGCCACTGGGGAGCAGGACCGCGGGCGCGGTGATTTCTGGCTGGCATTTCTGGATATCAAGGGTGCCTATGACAATGTGAACCAAAGAAACCTGTGGGACATAATGGAGAACTTAAACCTAGATGAAGGACTAACAGCACTATTAAGGAACATTTACAAAGATAACAAGGTGATTATAACATGGGAAGGAAAGGCGACAGGGAAAATAGAGATAAGACGAGGCCTTAGGCAGGGGTGCCCGTTATCGCCTTTGCTGTTTATGTTGTATCTGAGAGGATTGGAGGATAGACTAGAGAAGAGTGGGCTTGGGTTCAACCTTTCTTACAGTAAGCTAGGCCAAAAAATTCAGCAATCCTTACCGGGATTGATGTATGCGGATGATATTGTACTAATGGCTAACAACAGGACAGAGTTGCAGGAATTAATGAGCATCTGTGGTAGGGAAGGAGAGGAATTAGGTTTAGAATTCAGTAGCGAAAAATCGGCAGTCATGATTTTTAACGAGGATGAAGTTGAGAGGCTGAAGATACAGAATATTACAGTTGAGAGAGCTAGTAAATACAAGTATCTAGGAGTATGGATATGTGATGGTGCAGAATATCTCAGAGACCATGAAAAGTATATAATAGGTAAGGGCAACAGAAATGCAGCTGTAATGAAAAATAGAGCACTTTGGAATTACAACAGGTATGAGGTGGTGAGAGAGATTTGGAAAGGGGTCATGGTGCCTGGCTTGACTTTTGGAAACGCAGTGCTATGCATGAAATCCGAAGTGCATGCGAAACTAGAAATAAAACAGCGCGGAGTAGGTAGACTGGCTTTGGGGGCACATTGCAAAACGCCAAACCAGGGAGTACAAGGAGACATGGGATGGGCATCATTTGAGAGCAGGGAAGCGGTGAGCAAGGTAGAATTTGAGGATAGGTTGAGGCTAATGGACGGGGAGCAATGGGCACGAAAGGTTTTCAGCTATTTATACATGAGGAGTGTAGACACCAAGTGGAGACAGCGCACTAGGAAATTAAGAGGAAAGTTTTTGGGCTATAGCGAAGATACGGAAGAGCAAGTCTCAGTTAAGAAGAAAGTTAAGGCCACAGAAAGAGATCGGTGGCTAGAGGGAATGCAGACAAAGACGGCTCTGGAAAGCTATAGATTAAACAAAAGAGTTATTGCCAAAGAAAGCATTTATGACAATTCTAGGGGAAGCTCATTGCTGTTTGAGGCAAGAACGGGTGTTCTGCGAACCAGAACATACAGAGTGAAGTACCAGGAAATTGATACAGTGTGCACTGCTTGTGGAGAGGAGAACGAGACGGCTGAGCACTTGATACTTTACTGTAAAGGGCTTCACCCAATGCCTACCGAAGACAACATAGATTTAATAAAGTCATTGGGTTTTAGAGACAGCGAAGGGAGAGTGGATTTCAAGACTGTAGAGATTACCAAGCAAAGATTAAGTGAATGGTGGCAGAAATCGAGAGAAAACTAGGTATTTTCTTATTCGCTGATGGCAAGGGGGTTTCATAGCCTCACTTTCTTTGCACTGCGAAGTGAATATAGATTTCACATTTAAATATTCTAAGCTTAAATGGTAAAACAAAATGGCTAGGTGGCGTAAGCTACCGCCCGATCCAAAGGGCTCAGCCGTATTCATCCATCCATCCATCCATGATGCGCTCCGATAAGAAACCGAAATCTAGAAACGCGCCCAAATGGAGCGTTTTTACAGAATGCTGTAAAATGCTTCCCCGGCGTTATATCCTTCCACAAACGGTTGATTTCGTGGTTTTCGATGATGCTCTATAAGTTTCTAATTGAAACCATATGTCTATTTCCACTAATTAAAAAGTTAATAAACAAGTTTTAATTAATTAGCCGACTTATCGCAAAAATTAGCCACCCACATAATGTCCGCCCGGCCGCATAACCCAGCTGCACAAACCGCATTAGTGTAGCTTTCACGGTTTTTTTTTAAACAAATGTGTAAGAATAAAAAAAAAAACACTGTATATATATATATGTGTGGATATATATATATATATACCTACCTGCGTGGCGTAGCGGTCGCTGTCGACGGCAAGGACGGACGCCCTCTTGGCCGCTTCCTTGGCCTGCCTTTGCGCGTCCGGCAGGTCTAGCTTCCCGCTGAGGACTCTGGACACGTAGCGGGCCTGCATCTCGGCCACGGGCCAGAAGCTCCCGATGGGGTCCACGAGTCCTATAAAGGCCATAGCGGGCGGCCGGTGCCTGCCCGCGGGGAAGATGAACTTGAAGAGCTCGACGCGGCCCTCGGTGATGCAGGCGGCCACGTCCTCCGGCAGGAAGGCGTACTTCTTGACGTAGCCCGTGGCCAGAATGACGTCGTCCACCGCGACCCGGGAGCCGTCCTCGAACTCGACCGAATCTTTGCTGAATCGGGACACGTTGCCCCGGATCTGCAGGCATGCGCACTCGCCGACGTCGTTTATCCGGATTCGCTGGCTTCGATCGCTTGTTCAACCCGCCTTCCCACCGCTACTACATCGCATAAAAGACAGTCTGCAGACGTGTTGTAAACATAAATACGTGTGAAGAAAACATGCTTCGACCATGCTTGAGACGTGCCCCGCAGATAATTCAATCACCATGTCTGCAGCGAGCGGACGCCGTGTCTTTTGTACGAGTAGGACAGCAGCTTTAGTGTCCTTTTATACTGTAGTCTATAAATCAGCTTCTGCTTCTGACGTCAAGCCAGGGCGGTGGCGCTGGTTATGAAACGGAGTAGTCACAGCCTTCGCCGTTCAATCGGTTCGAATCGATGCGGCTTTTTCTAGTTCACGAAAACTAAATGTTCACCCCTGTGGTTTTTGTTTCTCTTTAAAGTTTTTTACATTCCGTGCTCCGCTGAAGCCGTTCAGGTTATTTACGACTCGGTAGCAGCACAACTTTGAAAGCCATATTCTGTAAGCTTCAGACTCGCAGCAGCAGAGGCTTCGCTAAGAGACCTGGTTGTTTCACCGAATTAAGTCCCTGAATATCTGAAGCCTGTTAGCGAAACGTCGGCAGCAAGCAGTCTGATCGCTTCAGGAACTACAACTTCTTCAAAAGATGGATCCACCGAGAAGCTATATAGGTATAGTGAAACGTCGCAATATCTACCTTGGTGCGTGTTTTATCGACTTTTACTAGACCTCCGTGTTCTGCGCATATCCTGACGCAAGGGCTGCTCACCTGAATGGTTCCCGTGAGTATCCTAGCCGGCAGGACGTCGTTGACGAAGGGCTGCTGGTCCAGCGCCCTGTGGCTCGGCTGAAGCTGGTAGAGCTTGTGGTCGAAGTGCCTGTTTAGCCTGTGCTCGTACGCCCTTGCGGTCAGGTCGAACGGCAGCAGGCTGCGGGCCGTGTTCAGCGCCCGGGTGCACAGCGTCAGGTCCATCGGCTGGCCGTGCGGACCCAGCCGGGGAGCCACCCACGTGCCCCGTCGGGTGCTCACGTACACCTGCGCTCGTGGTGCGGAGATTGTTTCCATTTCGCTGAACCAAAGCCCGACTGATTCCCAATGGCATCATGCACATAGGCTATGACATAGGACAAGTGAAACTGGAGACGCGAGGAAGTGACATGAAGCAGTCATTTCTAGCTAATATTGAATAACCAGTTCACACGACAGAGACGTTGGCGGACATGTAAAGCGCCCCAAGCGGTTGATGCGGGGAAACGTTCTTGTTGCCTGTGCGTCAAGGCGTTGGCCCTCCAGCTCTTCTATTTATTTTGTAGATTTCTGTACTGGGAGTTCATTACTGCTTGTTCTTTACTTCATCTCATGCCACAGATGCGCGTTACTATGAGGGCAAACATATGTGCGCGTCAAGTGCTGCGTAATCGATTTACTGCTGTTTAAACTTCAACCGTGCTTCATATCTCTTCGGTCACGGATGAAAAGTGGGCTCCATGACAGTGTCCCCGAGTTCACCTGCAGCCTGGCTTCCCTAATATAATCGGGAACGGCAAAACAATGATATATTTACCTGATGTCCGACAATCGGATCCTCCCCAGACGGCAATTCCAGCTTACCGCTCACCTGCGCGGCGACGTAGCTGAGTTCGGCCGCGATGTCCCCGCCGGAGTTTCCCAGTCCCACAACGAGAACCCTGCGGTCTTCGAAGGCCGACGCCCTCCGATAGTCGTGGGCGTGGATGACGCGACCGGCGAACTCGTCCAGTCCCGGGAAGCTGGGCAGCTTGGGGACGGCGTGGTGGCCGCTGCACACCATCACGGCGTCCGCGGTCGCCTCGAACGGTGTCCCGGACACCGTGTCCGTGCCGCGGACTGTCCAGCGGCAGTCGTCCGTCTCCCGGATCGACGTGACGAGGTGGTTGTAGCGAATGTGGGGCTCCAGGCGAAACTTCTCGCTGTAGAGACTGTGCGGACGGAATACGGGTAACGACCGGTAAATATGATACCTCGCTGGACAGAGGACACTCAACTTCTGATTGGTCAAGTGTCCAGCCGCGTTCACACTGCGAATACACCATACAAACATTGTCTGCAGGCATGCTTCGAAGCGTAGTAATGTATGAGGTAAACATGTTTTCGAACATGATGTGTCCCAGATAGCGCTTTCAACATGTCTGCAACAAATTCCGTTTTTTTTTTTTTTTTTTTTTTTTTGTACGATGTATTAGCGGTGAGACTTATTGAGAAATCGGGGACTTTTAGCAAACCGTTACCCTGTTCCGGGTACTGCACAATACTGGAGCCTTTGAAGCCTCCTTTTAAGTGCACGACCCCCTGCCCCCCGCGGTCACGATGTCACTGCGGGGACGCTCTTATAAGCATGCTTCAAGGGTTTCGAAAATATTCCGCAGAAAACGGTAACGGGTCGCTAAAAGTCCCCATTAACAGACACGAACAGGTTGGTCCGAATAATGGTTGCACTTCGCGCGAACAACTGCATATCGTGTATACCTAAAACATGAAGCACGCTCTTGCAGCTCTCCATTCGCGCATGCAGCATGCAGTGGGATATGTTGAAGGAAGGGAAAGGGGGGAGGGGGCAGTAATGGTGTCGTTTTTATAAGAACAGTTGCCATGGCAACGTACATGAACGGTGTAAAAACTTGCTGCCAGCGCACTAAACAAATTAACAGTCCTGTCAGCTTCCATGGATACCCGCAATATGAAGGACTAAATTAACTTATTTAACTTAATATGATGAAAGTGAAAATTAAAAAAAAAAAAAACAGGCAAGCTTGTGAACAAATTCTATAATGATAACCCGGAGACTGCGAACAAAATTCGGCAGACACACTTAAGACTGCTTACGTGTGGGAATGCGAAAGCATTATATAGTCCCTTTGGTGAAATGTTTTCGACATGCATTAAAGACGATAATAATCCCCGGAGAAGGGGAACAAGGGGGACATTGGTCCAGCTCGCTTGCACCTTTGCATGAATTGCACATTTATCATGCATTAAACTTCTTTCGTCTGATTCGGTGTTTGTGTTTGCGTATAGGTTGGCCTCAGACCGGAAATACGCCGTCTCAAAACAAGACGGTGTGTGTAATTGTCTGTTTATTTTTCTAATTATTATTATTTTGTAATTTGTCCCCAGATTTGGAATTATCATGGTTGTCACATGAAGAAAATAAACTTAAGTTTTGCACATTATTCGAGCGCTGCGCGAGGTAGTTTTTACAAGATTTTGTTGTCGAAGGAAGAACCGCTGCTTTTGGCCTTTGAAGCGTCTTGATAAAATAATGAAGCGAATCTAAGATGCACCTAATGATGCATCTAATTCAACAGATGAAGGTGGAATATGTCATTCCGCAAGGTGCCGAACTTTCTTTTATTGCGGTGCTTGAGGTGTTTATTCTCTTCTTTTCTTTTTCTTCTTTTTTTTTTTTTGGAGGGGGGGGGGGGGGGGGGGAGAGATGGGAGGGGAGGAAGTTTATTACTGCATGCCGATGGTAATTAATTTCCTACGAAATCACTGCCCTCGCCATTACGTGGGAAACTCTCTGACCGTGACGCCATGTGTCGTCAGTATGACATTATATCTCGTCGTGAGAGAGACGAGTGTGCTCATTAAAGCGGTCCACAGCGAATGCCGCCAACTCTCTAAAAAATGGTCTGCAAGTTTACTTCTCTGCACAACACAAAGACACTCGATCAAGGCGAACAATAGCAGGATCCAATGCGATTGACGAAGATCAGATTGCGATTAGCAGGTCTGAAAACTGCAGTGAGCTCAAGGACAACAAGCAAGCGAAACGCCATGCTGCATGGTCCCTGCGCACATCCCCTATTTTTCAGATCTAATCTTCAATCAATTCAATGTTTATTTGATGAGTTGAAGAGTTTGGTCCCATATGCTGGGACCGGCTACTTCAGATCAAGTAATGTACAGTATGAATGATGAATAACATCCAAATATAAAATGATAACACCATGAATAATACTCTCAGTTGCCGTACACGCACAAAAAAAATACACGGTGAGAGAAGCGATTACGCAATAAATACATATGTACATATGTACAATAGATTACTGTAACATAGTAAAAAACTTACTATAAAAAAACGCAGTTATCTTTTAAGGGCCCGTTGTGCGTGTTTTGACCTTCGTATGATACCTAATATCTGTAAACGTGATTCTTTTACTGACACAAAGATAGATCTAATCTTATTTATGAGCTGCGAAATACTCTGGGACCTGGTATTATTCACCGTGATTGGCTGTCTTTGTGTCCTGTAGAAAAATAAACTCACACTTTTTTTTTATTTTTTTTTTTTACAGCGAAGCTATTAAGGGCTAGGTTCCTCGGGGTCGTGCCCGGTACCAAATGTCAACACAACACTCTGGTAGCCGCCGTCGCTCATAGATGGCGGTAGCTGTCCAGAGTGTTGTGTTTGTCGGTTGTCTGCTGGCCATCGTCGCTCATAGATCGCGGCAACCTTTCCAACCTTTCCACTCTGGCTTGCCGACTTGCGGACGGCCATTACTTCAATTCCACCATAGTACAGCTTCGCTGGTCTTCCTTCTTCACCAAAGTGAAAAGGCTGAAAGTTTTTTTTTGTTTTTGTTTTTGTTTTGTGTGTGTGCGGTACGACCCACCGGAGGTACTCGAGCATCCCGGCATGGTGGAGGTAGTTGGGCGCCTCCGGACCCGGCGGGAAGTCGCTGTACGCCGAGAACTCTTTGGAGCTGTTGAGGACCGTGTTGCGAGCCACGCTGCCCACGCCCTCTAGCGGCACCTCGCGGTAGCGCCACAGGCCGCCCAGGCCCTCGGTTCGCTCGAAGCAGACCACGTCCAGGCCCTCTTCCAGACAAGACTTGATGGACGGGAGGCCGCTGCTGCCGGCTCCTATGACGACCACCAGGCGGCGCTTGGCTTCGTCGTTTCTCCCGTTCTGCGCCATCTTAGATCCCGTGCAAAAAGTGACCAGATCGTATTTCGTCGTCGTCGTCGTCATGCTTAGAGAGTTTCAGTAGACCGTTTCGTTACCTTCGATAAGCATACGCGACAACGATACGATGCATGTGCAAAGGCATCGGCGGAGCATCGGAGTCATCGGAACAAACGACTAAAACACTATATTCTTATTAATAGCATTATTGTTATTATCATTATCAGCATCCCTATTATCATTATTTAACGCACCTTGAAGAGCCATACTGACCTTGGTTGCAACGTCGTTATGTAAAAGCAGAAAGCTAGAAATGAACACTGAAACATTCGTAAACCAGAAATGAATGATGTTACACGAAAGAAAACGTGTAACACAAGTTAAATATTTACGTAAAGAACGGTTAAAAACAGATCAGTACTTGTATATTATATTGTATAACATAAAATATCGTTTTTTTTATAGCCTATAAAATAAATCTTCAGACAGTCGGTGCACGTTGTGCTTCCAGCGTGATATAATGGCTTCGTTGCACAGCAACGCTGCTATGCAGATTATTCCAGTCCGCTGTTGTAACTGGCAAAGTGAAGTTCAAGAAGGAAGATAGAAGTGAAAATGGGGACGATCTTTACGCATTTCAATTCGAGATGCGGCCTGATGGTAACACAACTAATTAAGGCGTTGTGTGTTTTTTGTTTTTGTTTTGTTTTCTTCACTACATGAGAACGTACACCACAAAGAAAGTTACGATCTAGACTCAACCGGACCAGAGATTCGCCTTTCGAAAGCACTTCCTAAGCGGAAAGGTTTCGGAGTTCAAACCCTTCCCAGAAATCAGTACCGCCCCTATTGTATGCTTGAGAGCAAAAAGGCTTAGGTACTTGCTTTGGAATTTCTTTTAGGCCCGTACTGTGATTGCAAGCCGCGGGCTCGTAAGCTCACCTGCGATGTAACGATGGAAAGAAAATCCACACGAACACTGACGCAGCTCGCTTGTATAATAGGCTCCGAGAGAGCGCACTACTAAAACGTGGCAGCCTCTGGAAATTCGTTCAGCTACTTCTCAGTGGCGCAACTGTTATTATAGAGGGTCTATTAGTATTATATATACTGCCAGCCGTGAGGGCAGGGAGTACATTTCATACCGGAGGTTAGGTCACATACATTGAACGTGTACAGGTTCGTATACGAGAAAAATTACATTATCACAAATGGCAAAACGTGTAAGCAGGAAGCTGTTTGTAGTATCAGTGCATCAGACAAAGAATAAGTCTGTGAATTGATTGGTCGAGTACCAATGAAGTTCAAGATAACGATTGTATTCCGTTATATGCAGCCTACATGTTCATATAACATATTTTGAAGCGTCTGCCTTATGGTGCTGATGAAGTGTCCTGAGAAAGCCATTCATTCTCTTCAATTTTACGTTTGCTTCGATACTGGCTAAACTTGCTTTATCCCTGAGGCTAGTAACAGAATCAGTTAATTGACCTGTGGCTGTTAAAAATTAACCCAGACGCTTCGTTTGGGTCCGTTCTAAAAATGCTTCGATCGGTAAATTGCTTCAACGCAGAAATTGTGGTTGGAAAAATTAAAGAAGCATTCGATTGACTACGAGCAAGCTTTTTTGCCTCGTATATACTCGCTTCCATCCCGGAATATAGCCGGCGGCACGTATACCATATGCAATGTCCAAAAGATAACACTACTGGTAATTATGCCTGGGGCAGGTCTCCGAACTTGTCTACAGCGTCCTCAAAAGTACATGGTCCCTCGATTTTCGCCCGACGACGTCGCCACAACGTCATAAATAGTGTCCCGCGGTTGCCTTTCGCGATCTTTTCTTTGAACTTCTATATAATGCACTAAATGCGTTATAGGACTTTGAGGGTAAAGGTTCCTTATAATTCCCTATAATGCATTTCATGCATTATAGGGAATTGGCGAGAGAATCGGTGAGGAAATTCATGCGTCACGTAACTTATATTTTCCCGCTAAATTTAGGAATGGTTGTATGGGTCACGTGACGTCAGGTAACGTGAACTCGATTTCCCCCGCGGTAACGGGGGAAACCGGATTAGATTCTAGGTCACAAGACGTAAGTGTTCCCGCTAAATTTAGCGGGTAAACTGCTTTCGGGTATGCGTAACGTGACGTCAATTTTTCCGCTATATTTTGCGGGGAAACTGAACTGGTCCCTACGTCCCGTGACGCCTGGTCACGTGACTCCAATTCACCCTCTAAATTTAGCTGAAGAACTGGATTCGTGTTTAGGTTTCGTGATATAAATTTCCCCGCTAAATTTAGCGGGAAATGTACGAACGGACGGACGGATACAACTTTTGGGATTAAGGGCAGGTAGGGTTTAAAAAAGAGAAAAAAAGAAAAGCATTTCATGCTTTAATTTACTCACAGTGTCTAGCGGTTTTCTGAAAGCTGTGTGCGGCTGGAAACGTCGATGGTCAGGAGCTTCCAGCGTCCGGATGTGTGCCTTCTACGCGACGTCCATGCAGCCTCTGGAGACGAAGAAAATCCGTACGAGAGGCGCGAGTTTGCTTCCAGACCTCCCCCCCACGCTGAACTGTATACGTCGAGACTTTCCTCGTGAAGAAAAGCAAACTTTGCGCCCTCATCTGTTTGAGATAATCTTTGCCCCGGTGTTTGGAAAGTGACGTCAGCACGAGGAAGCCCGCATATCTCGGCGCCTTGAGACAATACGAGATGTTTCGAGCACGTGCGCATTTTTGTTTGCTATGGGCGACGTGCGCGATCAAAAGCGTCGCTGTGGTCGGCCTACCACGATTGGCCAAACACTGACTATGACGTCAGCAAAGGAGTTCTCATCGGCGGGAATAAGAGGAATTTATAAACTTCAATTTTGACGGTGTTGGCAAAGTTGGTTTCAGAGCGCTATGATCTCAAGCTTCCAACATGCTCATTACAAACACCACCGAACTTGTTGTTCGCAAGGTCATGACGTCACGAGAGGAAACCAAGCGAGGGCGCCACCGTAACATCTGGCCGCTAATAGCTGCTCTCCTTGAGCCACGCTGTCGTCGCTTAAATCAATTAAAATACGTGTGTATTCGTAAGAGCTGTTCATGGTTTATGCGTGGGCGTTTTACCTCTCTCTCTCTCTCTCTCTGTGTTAAACTCAAGTTTAATATAGGGCACCCGATGTCTCCGATTCATCTGAGCACCCTCGTAATACATCATACAAAAGAGTGTCTGTAGAAACTGCCCGAGACGTGTTTCCTTCTAAGCTAGGTGGCGCAAGTTACCGCCCGATATAAAGGGTACAGCCGTTACCATCCATCCATCTATCCGCGTTTCTTTCGTGGCACATTGGTCATACAGAAACGGTCCGCAGACACGTTCTCAGCACGTACTGCCGTTGGTGCGCTACTTTGCGCTACATTGGCTACTTTACGAGCATGCCTCGCGATCGAAAGTTTAGATTGACTCCCTTGGCCTCCTCTGGCTACTTTTTGGCTACTTTTTTGGCTACAGACTCAACTACGGCTGCTAAATGCTTCGTCTGCACTACGAAGGCTCACTGCCATAACCCTAGAAACCATAAGGAGCTCCAGCAGCAGACACAACGAGAACACAACCTCGCTTCTTTCTTTGTATGTTCTTCTCGTGAGCTAGAATCATTAATCCGGCACCTTGCAGTCGGTTTTAGCACCTTAGATTGTAGAACCTGGCTACACTTCTGACACGAAGCGTCCGCTTGCGAGAAAGTTGTTCGCGCATTTTTCGCCACCTCCCAGAAGGTACTCTGAAAATCCTGTCACTCCTCGTATCGGACGAGTTTTGATAACAAAAACTGAACTGAGAAAAACGGTAAAGCTCACCGTCCTTGAGGCAATTAGAGACTGATCTCCGGGATGTGGCTCCAAAGAAAAAACATCCTGAACATTTTACGTGCCCATCGAGTTCCTTCAAATAAATTGACCTCAATTAATCTCGCTGTGACAACATACATTCACGTTGACTAAGGGTGTACAGAGCGTCATTTTTTATACATTGTTTTTTTTTTAGAAATACGGTAACGTTAAGCTTAGAGAAACTAAAATAGCTACTTTTGACTACTTTTTCCCTGCGTTCTGGCACCTTTCATCGAACGCCCAGCGGCGTTTAATGACATTTAACCGCAACTTAGAGTCGCGTAGTCCGAATTCCGCCCTCGTTTTGAGAAACTGTTTCCACAAACAAGCTCACGGGGGTCATTAAGTACAGTCATTCCGGCTGGCGCGCGTTTTCTCTTTTTGCGATGGTTTCTAGCCCGCCTGATTCACCCTGATTATACTAACTGTCAAACAAAATTCCTGTGCGTCAATTTTTTTTTGTTTTTTGTTTCTTGCTTTTTATGCATCGAAACCGACAAGAGCGTCGCAAAATACTAGGAAAACAGGGGGGGGGGGGCAGGTTTGCCGGGTAGCAGTTTCTTCAGAAGCATTGCTCTACAAGTTTTTCAGGTGCTCAAACGATAGCCCGTGCCTCGCGTCTTCTCACTTTTGGAACAAGCTTTCATTAAAGTGCACGTTTTGTTTGCTTGGAAGGCACGCTACTCTTACAGCTCCGAGAATGTCAATGTATACAAGAGCTAAATTAAATCATAGCTAACGAAACTAACACAGATGTCCCTCCAGTTCCCGTTCACCGGTGGAAAATATAGCAATGTGTTCTTTCGTTGCACCCAAAAAAAAAAACAGAAACGTGCACCGAACATCTGTTTCGTGCAACACTGGACCCTGCAGGTCGCTGGTCTCGATACCCAAAGGGACGTGTTTTGAAAACAAGTCGGTGACTTGTACAAACCGTCGGGTTGCTTGCATGTTGTTGTGTTATGTTCGTCCCCTTCTGTGTTCCTGAGTCTCGGGTTTTATTGCCATGAATCACCACGAGCTAGCTTGTTTTTTTTGTTTTTTTTTTAAGTATTGTTGCACGTTTATGAAAACCGGCCTCGTTTGCGAGTTAAAGAACCAATCCCAGTGCCATAAATATACGACCAATGAAAAGCGCCTTCACTTTCTCCTCTGTTTTGACTGTATTTCATTTTGAGCGGACATGTCTTT